ACAATGTACCTGCACCCCCTATTGCTGGTAGCGCCATTTTTACAGACTTGAAATGTGCCACTACACTCTGTGAGCGCCAATTTCACACAGTGAAAGAACTTATATCCCACTTAACACAGCATATAGTGGAGGGGCGACCTCTGGCATGTCCAGTAACTGGTTGTAAAAGTATGTTCTCTGTGAAATCATCATTTACTGCTCATATGTCCAGAAAACATAGAGAATGTTCTGTTGAAAGCATAAGCGACATGTATAGGGGGACACTTCCTCAGTCTTCTGCTGGATTTGCAGGTGAAGATGCTCCGCATAGCTTAAATGAGGCAACAACAAATGAAGGCACTGAACTGCCACAGAATTTCAGTGAGGCCTTCCTTAGGAATGTGTGTTTGTTTTACCTAAAACTGCAAGGACAGCTGCTCCTTCCAGCTTCAACAATACAGACAATTGTTGAAGAGATGCAAAACGTGCATGGGTTGGGCCAGCATTATGCTTTAGGTAAATTGCATTCACTTTTAAAAAATGACTTGTGCCTAACAGATGACGCTATTGTTAAAATCTGTGATTGTATTAAGGAGTCAGATCTGTTTTCTACCTGTCATAAGGGCCATAATAGATATAGAAACCCTTTGGCAAACAACCCCACTATGGGGCTGGCTGTCACAAAGTGTCAGGGTGTCATTGATGGTTAATTACTTTTTATTACAATTAACTGCAGCAGCAAGTCAGGCTTACAGTTTTTGTATTTGGTAATGTTTTACACAGAAGACTCTTCTCACACAACTCCAACACCACAGGAAGACAAATGTTTCCTGTTTTTCATACCAACTATCAGTGTCTGGTTACCCTTGTGATGTGTTTATGGGTGTTTTTTATGCTGCAAATCTTTCCAGGTCTGGCTGACTCATTGCATTTTTGGTTTTTAAATCAATCCAGCCACTAAATTGTATTTCAAAATACATGGATGCATGGAACAGAGCCATGTTTACCACTGCAGCATCCTCTGTTATTTTGTCAGCAGTGTGTAAACATCTGGGAACCAAGGACACTGGTTACTGGACCATTGGGAGAGGAGTATTGTCCCATTGTTTTCTGACTGTTTGCCATTTTTCCTCAGTCCATTTTATGAGGTTTTGCAAAGAAACAATGTTGGTGTTTCTGAATTAAGCTGCAATAGAATCATCCTTCAATTGTCCTACAAGGGGAAAATTTTGTTGTAACAGCAGCAAAAAGACACATATACAAACAGAACAGGAAACAGGACATGGAACAGAAGCACACACATTTTTTATAAATTTACATCATGGACAATAGTTACCAAAACAGAACTGTACAGTTATTAAAATGAAGGTACAGATAAGTGGATAACCCAGGTTGTAGTGTGCAAACAGAGCAGGATACTGAAAGATGTTTCAATGGTAAGACTATTTAGAATAACTTGAAATATACAGATTGTGTATCGTACCGGACTTCCTTTCTGCAGGCTTAAACCTGCATTTTTAGATGTATTTAGTGTAGTGTGGCTTGAAGGTCTGAAGCTCATTGGCATCCAGTGTTGATTTTTGGCCTTATGTCTGTGCGCATTGATTTCTCCTGATTTTCAGAATCTTTTGAAAACATTTTGCACTGTAGAAAATGAATTAGACAATACGATTTGTAGACAGGGTTTTTTGCAGATTGGTGAATCTGCTCATCTCTACATCTGACAATTTCTAAAGCCGATGAAACTCTTTAAACCTAGTCGTGTTAAAAAACAAAAAAACAAAAACACAAAACAAAAAAACCAAACAAAAAAACAACAGCATGTAGCTTCATACTTGATGTGTTTAGTTGAATACTGATTGGCTAATCCGTGACATATAAAGGGAGAGAAGAGAAAGAAGCTTTAAACATCAAAGCTTTAAACCTACATCACCCATCATCAGTGCAGCAGCCATTTGTCACTGTTTCAACACTAGAAATACAAATGAAAAACTAATGAAACCATTTAGCAAATTTAAGCCATTCCTGTTATTAAAGCGCTGACTTCTTCAGCAGTGTTGAGCAAGTTACTCTGAAAAAGTAATTATAGTTACTAGTTATTTTTTCAAATAAGGTAACCGAGTTACAAGATCCTAAAAGAAATACTTGAAAAGTAACTATTGCGTTACTTTCAAAAAAAACATTTAACCCTCTGGGGTCCAGGATATAACTCGCCATTTTTTAAACTACTTTTGATGTTTCCTCTACATTTCACCTTTAAAAACTGTTTATTTGCCTTGTTTGGTATCATTCTGTTCAGCACAACCTCACGTGTCTGAAATTACAATTATGTTTTCAATTTGACATACTGTATTAACACAATTGGTCTAAAATCAGACAACAAAAAAAAAAAAAAAAAAAACAATAAATCCGAGTAGAAATAGTTTTTACTGTAACAACCACAAATGTGTTTATTGAATCATATGTCATAACTTTAAATGCAAATATAAATTGTAAAATCATATGCACAAGTTTTGCAAACAACAAAGTTATTTGCATCCATTTACCTTTTACTGTGAATTTAACAAAGGACCCAAGATGCGGATATGCAGTGAAGTGAGAGAGCTTTATTGACACAGAACCCGAGTGATAACAAACAAAAGGGGAGTGTGGCGAAAAACAACTTAAATAAACTACACTGGGAAAACTAAAACCTAAACAACAAACCTAAACAAGAGAGAAAGCAACTTGCAGGGGAAATTCACAGACAAGAAAACACCAAATAACACACAGGAGAACACACAGGGCACAATTTAGTTTTTACAGAATAAAATGTGAACAGGCAGGACTGACGCCTCAGTGTGTAGCTGTCCATACCTCAACGTTACAAAAGCACAATCGCTGTCCACACCCCAACCACACCTCACAGTAAATGATCATTTCCATTTTAAGCATTTCCAAATAATCATTTTCCATACTGCCAGTATAAATATACACAGTATACTGCATCACTACAATATGCATGTTTTACACACTCCTTTTGTTGTTGACATTTACAGGCTGTGTGCAAAAGGCCACACTCTCCGTCCTACTAGAGCAAATGAAGCTTCGAGAAGCTTTGCGCTGGGGTGAACCAATTGGATGACAAGCTTCAGTGCTTCATCTGCCCATCACTACACAAAACCCAAGTGATAACAAACAAAAGGGGAGTGTGGCAAAAAACACAAGTTAAACTGAAACCTAAACAACAAACCTGAACACAAGAGAAAGCAACTTGCAGGAAGAATTCACGGGATGACGGCGGGAGATTCACAGACAAGAAAACACCAAATAACACAGACAAAGCAGCAACAGGCAGGAGAACACACAGGGCTTAAACACACACAGCAGTAATCAGGGGATGGGAGACAGGAGGGACGCACACCTGGGTGAAATCACAACTGACGAGGCACGGGAAACGTAAACTGAACACACTCACATAAGACAAGGACCTTCAGAATAAAACAGGAAACTAACAGACACAGAGAATCAGACAAGACACTGCACTAAACAGACAGACTCACAAGCAGACAGTGACACCATGGACAGACAGAGGGAACACAGAGAAGTGGGAGCAGGCAGGCACAAAACAAACCCCTAACGAATGGCAAACCGAACCCAAAGACATAACAGAACAAACAAGAACAAAGAATAATATAAAGAAACACAAAACACTGAGCCGTCAGACTCAGGACCATGACAATTACCCTTTATAACCATTTCAAACTATTTACAGAACAATCAGCTGTTCTGCATTCAATAAGATGCCACACAAATTATTTGTGCCACTCCCAAAATTTGAATGTCACATCTTCAGAGATGGAATCCAGCTTCACCCTTCGGGACATCCAGTCACATTACAAACATCTAATCATTCATTAGATCCATCATTCCAGCCACACTGTATCATCGTATCTCTGTCTAGCTGACGTAGAAGATTTAACACCAAGTTTAAACTTTACAATCAGATCATCATTTTTCCTTTGTCATTCATAACAGAATTCCCATCACATATAAATATTCGGTCATCACTTCATGTTTCACTAAGGCTACGTCCACACATACCCGGGTATTTTTGAAAACGCAGATTTTTCTATGCGTTTGCACCTTTCGTCCACACGTAAACGGCGTTTTTGGTCACTGAAAACGGAGATTTTTAAAAACTCCGGCCAGGGTGGAGATTTTTGAAAACTCTGTTTTTGCATTTACGTGTGGACGAGAAAAACGCAGAAAACGCAGCGTCAAAGGTGTGCGCCTATTTTGACGTCACACTGTGCGCCACGTTATTGTTTCGGTGAAATGAATTTCTACAATACTGTTACTGTTAATTCTACTCTCTGCAGTGTTTAAATGCTTACATATACGCACAGTTACTGTCCGTCCACACATACGACTCGGTTCTGCTTCTACGCCCCAGCTTTGTTTACTTTTTCCCACCGGGGCTTTTAGACTTCTGATTGGCCAACATTTCTGCACGGTTAGGAATCTAGCGCCACCTGCTGCTTTGGCATGTTCATAGCAGCGTTTTCCTTCATTTCTGCGTTTACGTGTGGACGGGATTATTTTTTAAAACGAAAATGGAAAATCTCCGTTTTCAAAAATACCCGTGTACGTGTGGACGTAGCCTCAGTTCATGTAATTCTATTTCAATTAGATTTGTCTTTAGCACATTTTCAGATAAACATTCATTGTAACATAATCCCTTTTTGATTCAAATACTCAGGATTGCATTTTTTTTTAAAACTCTGTTTGTTATTCACTGTTTATTTCATACAACTTTTTTATGAAATCGATTTAAAAGTCGGGCATTCATTGCGATCAGTGGATCTAGCCACTAACACACACACACACAACAATGGCATTAGAACAGTCATTTTTACTACTCAAACAACTTTTCTCATTAATATGTCGATCAAACTTAGATTTTAGGGAAAAGGGGAAAAGTTCTGTTTTAGCACTCTGATCATTTTTAATCACATTAGGCTGAACATTAAGACTTTTTATCCCCTCTCAGCTGTGACGACAAGGAGCGCCCACTCTGTCAAGGTGTATAACTTGTCTGTGGTCGCTTGCGTTGTTTCTGGAGCTGCGTCACTGTGTCAACTGTGTCTTTCAGGCGGATTCGTTAAATAACGGCATGGTGTCTGTGTTTTCTACAGGGTGGAAAATGTTTTTGTCAGAAACCAAAGAATTGTGTCTGTACAGAGCAAAATGATTACATTTAAAACTGTAGTGAAAACTAAAATGAACTGTTTAACTGAATGAAAATAAACAAGACTTGAAAAATGAAAATCCAAGCAATGAACATAAAACAAAGATATACTGGAAATGGTTCGACTGTTTAACTTGAGCCTGAGGAGTCATTTACTGAGCTGTCTACAGGACAGTGGGTGTTTTGTGATCTTCTAAAGTTGTATTTTGAACTGTGTACTTCTGGACCCTGTTACAGGAAGCATGCTGAGTTAAGTACATGGATGACTAGAAGAGGAAAAGATTCATGAGAGGAGCTCTGATAACATGATTCACCATGGCAACATGTAAAAAAGAACTAAACCTACCAACGGGCTGTAACACCTCATTTTTTGTAGAGCAATTCATTATTTCTGTCATTACTGGAATAAAATGCTTCCCCAGTTTAAATATTTATAATTTGATTTCATTTCTGCCTCACTCATATATGATGGTCGTCTTACAACATCTCTGCTATAGAGATGTTTTACTGAGTTACTGTTAATGGTCCAGACTTCAACTGTACTAACTATTTCAGGTTTAGCTGAATCAGAATCAGAATCACTATACTTTATTAATCCCTAAGGAAATTACCTGTCCACAGAGTCACAGAGTTAAAAGGATGGAGACCACAGGGGCGATCGTGGCCCAAGAGTTGGCAGTTCATCTTGTAATCGGAAGGTTGCCGGTTCGAGCCCCGGCTCGGACAGTCTCGGTCATTGTGTCCTTGGGCAAGACACTTCACCTACCTACTGCCTACTGGTGATGGCCAGAGGGGCCGATGGCGTGATACATACAC